CAGGCTGACCCAGGCCCTGGCACCATGCGGCTCCGGGGGGCCCAGGAGGCCCGCGAACACCCCTCACTGTGAGCGTGCGCACGCGTGGGCGCCCCTCGCGTGCCCGCGCCAGCATGAAGTCTGTTCCCAAGTGGCAGCATTTACTTTTAATGCTGTAATCACTCTGGCACCCAGGCCTGGCCAGCATGTGGTCAGCGGCCTGGGCGCTCTGGGGCAGGCCCGCCCACACCTCTCGCCCAGCCACAGGCCGCGGGAGCAGGCGCAGTCACGGGACAGGAGCCCAGCCCCACCTCAAGCGGGGTTCCGGCTAGGGGAGTCTGATCTCCCGCAGTGTCCCCCCACTCCACTGCACAGGGTGGCTTGGGGTACCCACCTCCCCCCCCGCCGCCTCCGGCCCCGGATGCGCACAGGCACAGGGACCGTCTGTTCAGGTTGGTCAGCAGGTGCCCGACGCTCTCGCTGCCACTGCAGGGACCTGGCCGCAAAGCCCGGGCTCGCTGCGCCCCCCCGGGACCCCAGGCTCCGAGCTGCACCCGCACAGCGCCCCCGTCCTCGCGCCGCGGCCCTCACCTGCCGTGGGCCGCCACCAGCAGCTTCAGGCAGGTCAGGTCCCCGCCGACGGCAGCGTGGTGCAGCGGCAGGGCCCCCTCCAGGGTCTGCAGGGTGGCCGCGTGACCCTCCCGGAGCAGACACTCCACCAGCACCGGGTGTCCGAAGCGGGCGGCCAGATGCAGGGGGGAGACCCCAGAGGCATCTTGGTCCTGGGGTCCGGGAAGAGCCGCGAGCTCCAGACTTGGCCAGCAGGGGGCAGCGCGGAGCCGGCCCTGGCTCCATGGCCCCAGCCGGCAAGGCCCGCCAGGGCGCCCCGCCCAGGGAACGCGGGGCTCTGCTCAAGTCCCGCTGCAAACCGTGGCGGCCGGCCTCTCCTGCTCACGGCCAAAGGGGCCACTGGTCAACCCCACGGTGCCCTGGGGCCACCTCTGGGCCCCATCCCCGGGGCCTGAGCCCCGCCCCAGCTGCAGGGAGCTCCTGCAGCCTGCATGCCAGCAGGGGGTGCCGCCTGGCAGGGACCTGGCAGGCCGGTGCTCCCCAGGTCCGCTCCCACCTCCCTCCTCGGGAAGAGCTGACGGGTCAAGCTGGTCTCCTCTGGGGACGCCTTGGGTCAGGCTGCCCTCCCACCTCCCCGACTTGGCTAGGGTGGCCTGCTGCTCTGGGGCCTGTGTCCCTCTCGGACGCGGGGAGAGGTGGGCTGGTGAGCCAGCGCTGCGCCCCAAGACCCCTCTTTGGACCATGGACCCCCGTCTGCTGTCCCCACAGCCGGGCCCGCGCTGCCATGTGGCCCCTGGTGCCCACAGCGCCCGACGCGGGGCCCTCCGTGCTTCTCTGTGGCCCTTTTCTAGACACTGGCTGCCTCTGGTGTGACCTGCCGGCCGGCACGCAACCCCTGGCGAGGGCGGCAGCAGAGAGCACGCCGGCACCGGCCGCCGGGGGTGGCCCTGTCTCAAGGGCCCTGGGCGAGGGGCTCCCCCA